GGAAAAAAAAAAGATAGTTCTGGCCACTAAAGGAAAAGTCTTATCTAGAAGCCTTAGAAATTTCATGGTCAGCCCTCTGATAACTCAGTCTAGGGAAAGACCCAGAAATATGCTTCATGAATGCCTAGAACCCTGAGCTCCATGAAACCAAGCCCTATAAAAAGCAAAGCTGGAAGGGATATATTCTCTCTCTATCTCCCCCCTCCTCCAATCCCCCTGGCATTTATCCCGTTTCTAGATAGAAAGGGTCTAGAAGTCCCAGGCTTAGCCTAAAGCCAAAGAACACCAAGATAGCATGAAAATACCAGCCACTTTAACAGCTTCTAGGGACAAATTCTTCCATCTTTGGAGAAATAAATGTTATATGAAAAGGATACTTTGAAAATTGATGAGATAAAAACATCATATAAGGAGAGACAAAACAGCCCAAAGAACAAGGAAGAGCAAGTTATAGCTGAAATCCTTCCTGGAATTTCAGAACTAAAAGAGCATTCTCATTAAGTCAATCCCCCTGACTCCAAGTGTGACATATTTAATTCACTCAGAAGAAAATTCAGTCTGCTTTTTAAAATATTCTTCTGTCTGTCACATCAAAAATAAACAAATAGATAAATAATCTTTAAAGTACGTTGTGGCTTAGGTTAAGCATGGCTGCTTCATGCTCTGTCTTCTATAAAGATAAAGAAAGCAACATTTTGTGAGCTATAACACATTTCAAAGATTTGTGAAATAGCTATTCAACAACTCTGTGGTTCAAAATGTTTACAATAAACTCCCCTCCCCCCAACCCCAACCACCACACCATAAACTATTTACCATTCACTGATAAATTTTCATAGGTTTAAGGCTGACAATCCCAGAAAGCAATAATTAGCTGACATGAAGGAGCTCAGGCCTTTAACAGCCTCAGAGTGGCACAAAAGGAACAACTGTGCCTTAAGTATTTCTAAAATCACACAGCAATCCTAACCACCCACGGACTTGTAAAGGAAATGGGTGATCAAACTCTATAACTGGGCTGAGGAAAAGACAAACCAGACAGAAAGCGAGTTTTCATTAGAGAAACAATTTATACATCTCGCCTCCCATAATAAAAAGAAATGCTTTGCTCCTATTGGCTCCCATTAAAAAGAGTGTCCCCTCCTATTTTCTCCCTTCCCCCCTCCCCCCCCCCCCAAATATAATAATGGTGAAAGAGAACAACCCTTTTGG